CCTAGAGCAGCAGCCTCACCAGTACCGAGAGCAGCAGGCGCTATACCAGGGTCAGGCGGGACGCACAGGTAGTAGGCACGGTCAATACTAGTAGGCAATGCATACATGGCAGTGAGAATAGCATCATAGTCAAGTGCAAAGATATCTACCCTCTGTCCAAGCAGCTCCGGCCAGGCAGGGAGCTCAGCCTCGTCTCCAAACACGGTACGCCAGGCGTCGCTCAGACGAGCGAAGCAGCGGGACTGTGTGTGACCAAGCGTCCCGCAAGGCTGACCAGTCCTAACACCTGTGCGAATGACGTACGGGCAGCGAACGGTACGCGTAGACCTGCTACACTGAGTGTACCACTCCTGGAGCTGCCGGGGCGTAAGTGTCTCGCGAGGACGCCCCTGCAGCTGCAGCTGGCCACTGCCAGACGCCCCCAACTGACCAGCTCCAGGGCGACTGCTACGACGGCTACCTCGACAGCCCCAAACCCTATACCACTCATCACGCTGCTGGGGCGTGAGAGACTCGTAGGAACGACGCTGGAGCTGCATCTGGCCACCTGCTAATAGCAGGAGTAGTAGCAGTAGCGCGGGCAGGGCAGGCGCGGCAGGCAGGCAGGCAAGCAGGCAGGCAGGCAGGCCGACAGGCAGGCAGGCAGGCAGGCAGACAAGCCGGCAGGCAGGCAGGCAGACAGGCCGGCAGGCAGATAGGCCGGCAGGCAGACAGGCAAACAGGCAGGCAGGCAGGCAGGCAGGCAGGCAAGCAGGCAGGCAGGCAGACAGGCAGGCCGGCAGGCAGGCAGACAGGCAGGCCGGCAGGCAGGCAGGCAGGCAGGCAGACAGGCAGGCCTGCAGGCAGGCAGGCAGGTGCTCACCAAAGGCTGGAAGAGCAGGCGCTCGCCGGGCGAGCAGGGTCGGCGCTCGACGGGCGGCGGCCGAGTAGGCGCACGACAGCGGCGACGTCGGGGCCGCAACAACGGCTGCAGAGTAGGGCCGCGGAAGCTGCAGGGCGGGACCGCTGCAGCGGCAGTCGCAGGGTGAGGCCGCGTCAGCGGCAGGTCGAAGTCGCGGCAGCTGTAGGGCGGGGCCGCATCAGCGGCAGGTCGGGGCCGTGGCAGCTGCAGGGCGGGGCCGCATCAGCGGCAGGTCGGGGCCGAGGCAGAGGGCCGCGCGCGGCTCGGCGCGGGCTGCGCTGACCGCGCACTGGGCTGCTGCAGGCCGCGCGCGGCCGCGCTAGGCAGTAGCGGGCCGCGCGCGGCTCGGCGCGGGCTGCTGCGGGCCGCGCGAGGCAGTAGCAGGCCGCGCGCGGCTCAGCGCGAGCTGCTGCGGGCCGCGCGCGGGCCTCGCGAGGCCGTAGCAGGCCGCGCGCGGCTCGACGCGGGCTGCGTGGGCTCGGCGCGGGCTGCGCGCGGCAGCAGCGGGCTGCGCGCGGCTCGGTGCAGGCTGCGCGCGGCTGCAGCGGGCTGCGCGCGGCTCGGTGCGGGCTGCGCGCGGCTGCAGCGGGCTGCGTGGGCTCGGTGCGGGCTGCGCGCGGCTGCAGCGGGCTGCGCGCGGCTCGGTGCGGGCTGCGCGGGCTCGGTGCGGGCAGCGCGCGGCAGCAGCGGGCTGCGCGCGGCTCGGTGCGGGCAGCGCGCGGCAGCAAGGGGCCTAACGGTCTGCAGGGGCTGTTCGCGGGCCTGAAGGGCGTGTAGGGGCGGCGCGCGGGCCTTACGGGCCTCTAGAAGCAGCGCGCTGGCCTAGGGCAGCAGGAGGCAGCGCTAGGGCTGCTGGACGGCGCGCGTAGTGCAGCACGTCACAAGGCAAGGCAAGGCAGGCAGGTACGTGGGGTAGCGCGGTAACCGCAGCGGTAGGTGGGCCCGAAAAAAAACGGTCCTACGGACCTTAGTGCTCTGAAACCATGTTAGAATCTAGCAGCAGGAATGAATGAACTAGCAGGAAGATGGGTACAAGTAGGAAACCCTAATTTGGGTTGTACCCCATATGGGCTACCCCACTACAGCCTACACAATGAGTAGCATATATGTTTGACATTTCTGTCCAATGACCACCCACCGCCATGCTTTGAAGGATATTGCCTCATGTAGGTTAGATGTGCAATTGACCGAGCGAGTGAAGTTGCACTAAGGAAGCAAACGAGTACCAAGGATGAGCGTAGGCATGAGCAAATTCAGCAGACGGTAATGTGGAGTGTGCGAGCCAGCTAGGGCAATGCTGGAAGCGAGGTTCCTCGATTCCCAAAATGTAGGCCGATTCGGCCAAGTCCAGCAGTGCGTGGTTTGGTGGAAGTGAAGTGACATATAAAGGTGGCGGAACATCATTAGTAGCAATGGGCGAAGAACGGCTGGTCTTGTATGAGATGATGGGGTGCTCAGTAACTAATGTAGAAAAATTCCTTACATCATTTAATAGCGATATTGCTGGAAAGTATATTGTGAGAATAGGAATTTTAAGGCAAGAATATTAAAGTGCCACGTGGCGCTAGCAAACATGAGAAGATAAGATAAGGAAGAATTTGGAAAAGTGTGTAACATTGTGGGAATGTTTAATAACTTACCACAGAGTAAAGTACTGTAACTTGAACATGGCAATAAACAATTGGACCGTTTTGAATCGCACATATAGGACACTTGCTAGGTCACTTACTAGGTCTACGCGATTCGACGTGCCGGCTCTTTGTGCACGATGCACCTATCCACATACTGTACCACGATTTGGAGTGAGGTGACGTGAGGTGAAGTGAGGGCATTGGTTCGGCAGGCGTGTTCTAGTATCCCCTCCTCTCCCCCCCATCCCCCACCAGCTCCCGCACTGCACCGCACCATGGTGAGCAGAGCTAGAAAGAATGAACATCGTGAGCCCCACCACTCGAGCTCCTTCACTCGAGCTCCTTCAGTCGAGCTCTTACCTCGCCACCCCTTGTTTGCCAAGCCGTGACCTCCCAAACTCTCCTTTTGTCAGACGATACGATTTTAAATCTGCACGCCGCCGCGGCCTATCATAATGCGGCGTTTTCCCAGGCGTGCCGCCGCACGCCGCTGCAGTAACGCCGGGGCTTGCGTTCTCCTCCTCGCAGCCCTCACTATCACTGTCGGCGCTGCTGCTTGCTCCCTTTCCAGCGCTGCGATGCACCCCGCTGTCGGCGCTACTAGTACTAGTAGTACTACTAATCGCCCACCGCCGCGGCGGCGAGATGTCCCACTCCGTCTGCCCAAACATCACCTGCTGTCTCGCGCTCGACCCAGCCGCGCGCGACGCTCTCTTTTAAAGCTCGCCGTTAGCGACGGCGGCGCTGCCGCGGCCGACGCGAGCGCTGAAATCGTTCTCGAAAACTCGCAATGTGGGTCCCGTTGTCCAGTTCAGAGGCTCTCAGCGGAGCTTCCTCTCGTGATATCATCCTCGCATTACAATGGGAGGAGTTGCCACACTCAGCTCCACTTCTCATGAGCAGAGAGAGAAATTGTGTGCGCCCGGGCGGCCCGTCATACCCGCCGCCTTGCATGCGAATGTGGCGTCCTTATTTGCGGTACATGTGCTCCCATTTCCCCGTTGTGCCGTCAGTGAAGGCGCTGCTGCAGCTGAAGGCGGCGTGGGGCGTTTGGGAAAGCAACAGCAACGCCACCACTGTGTGTCCCCCTCAGCCCCAGTAGCATGAATCCGCTCCCATTTCCGCCCTGTACCAACAGTGAAGGCGCTTCTGCAGCTGAAGGCGGCGTGGGGCGTTTGGAAAAGCAACAGCAACGCCACCACGGCGTGCTCTGCATGGGATGGCATCACCTGCAGCCCCAAAGGGCTCGTCGTTTCCCTGTGAGTTGTTTCCCTGTGAGTCGTTGCCTTGTGAGAATCATCGTCGCCACTCGCTCCTCGTTGCCCTAATTTTTTGCTTGGTGCTGTGCGCTTGCCCTGTATTAACCTGTCCTAATTGCCTCGTTGCCGTGATTGTTCAGCTGTGGTCTATGGCATAGGGCGTTGTATTGGTATCTATAGCCTAGGGGCTCGTATTGCTGTATTGGCTAGGGCTCGAATCCAGCTAGCCACGTCTTCCAAAATTTGTGGCTGGGCGAACAATGAATGCAAGGATGTATGGTTGCAAGACTGAGATGTGGAGCGAGAATTCGAATGTGGTAACTGAACTCTGAGGTCCCTGAGAAGCCGGACCCCGCTGATCCAACGAGGACGTTTGACACCAGGCGTAGCACGGTTATAATTCCTGCGTATTTACACAAAGCGGTTACAAGGGGACTGTTGAGGCGCTGAAAAGCCCTCGTTTTGGCCAACCTAGTCTAAGGCACAGGGCGATTCTATGCCCCCTCGGTACTCCGTCGTTACTCCTTATTGGTCCTCTGACCTCTCCTTTCCCCCACTGTGTAGTATCAGTATCACTGTATCACCCTTCCGCTGTCTGCTCCTCTAGCAATGATCGTGTTGGATTTCGTGTGCTTGTGGGAGCATTGCAATCCGGACAAGGGGGAGGGGGAGGGGGAGGAGGGGGGGGAGGATGTGGGTGGTGGGATGGGGGAGGACTGGATATGGGAAGGACTGGATATTTGGGGAAGGGAACTGGGGTGGGAGATGGGCGAGGAATGGGAGCTGGAATTGCGTGCATGCATTCGTGGATTGGCAGGGATTCAAAATCAATGCCCTCTGTGGATTCCCCCATACTACCTGCCTCCATCACCGGTCTTTCCACTCTGCAACTTCTGTGCGTCACCACCCACCCCACCCCACCCAACCCCACCCCTCTCCCTCCACTACAGTCTACATCCATCTTGCATTGCATCTACCATACCTTTCCGTCGTTTGCCATGGCCAGCCTCGTACTGCTCTGTCCTTCCATCTCGTTCTCGCATTCACATGCCACAACCCAACTGACCATGCCCTCTTCCAGCCCTTGCACGCCTCCCTTGTGCACTAGCTGCAAAACTTCAACGCCAGCCACAGATCTCAAGACTCCATTTTATCTTCCTCTTGCCATCTCCTCCACTGCTGTTCATGCGCTCCCATCCCATCCTGCAGTGATCTGACCTACCTTGATCTGGTCGGGCCCATTCCATCCCTCGCCACTCTCACTGACCTTACACACCTGTGCGTGTGTTTCTCTTCCATGGTTCCAAACCAGCTCAACTGAATGTTGGACTAGGCCCTTCCCATCCAATATGCCCGTCTAGCACCCTCCTTCACTCCTCTGCACCCCCACATCCTGCTCTTTCCAGCTTGATTGATCGTTGATCCCGCAAATTTTCAAGACTGGAGACCTTTCCCTTCCCTTCCACAACTATCATTTCCTATCGCTTTTCTCACGCCGTTCATTACCAATCGCTTGTACAAGTAATCGTGGAGTCCTCGTTTATTCCGAATAAACCCTAAACCCTGCATCCCCGTGGCTGCGCCATGTGGTCCCATTTCCCACTAACTGTACCACGTGCACCCTTCATGTGTGTGCACTGTTGCTGCTTGCATGCCCCATGTGCACGCAGAGCTATTGTGGCGGGTCTTGATAGCAGTCCTACTGGCACTCTGGAGGGACTGGCTTGGCTCTCCTCCCTCACCAACCTGCAAACACTGTACTTCAGGCCATGCAAACACTGTTCGCCTTACGAACCAATGCTATTCCTGCGAGCAATCAATGTCACTGTCACTCTGCTTCCACTTTGTCGTCCAGCCTTGCTGTATTAGTCTAGCAATAGCCTTTAGCTGACGTTAGGGAAAAGTTGTGGCAGGAGACATTTATGAATTTTCAGTTACATATTGTTCAAAACAGGAAACTGCTCAATTAGACTCAAACAGTTTTTTTTCAGCAATTAAAAAAGAGTTGGGAGCCTCGTGTGATGCGTTGTGCCGCATTTAGCCACGTGCAGTATGGTGGAACCGCATTCACTAACCAACCGTGAAACCAAAACTGACCTGTTGCGTTTGTACCAAACACGGTTCAAGTGCGGTTGGACATTTCAGGCTGAGGCAAATTGCTTCTCAACGTTTGCCAACTTGTTTTCGGTTGTCTTGCCCTTTCCATGTTTCTTCACTAGCTCCTTCGTTTTCCATCCAGCCCCACCGTCCAGCTCTGAGATGCTCCTATGGCTCCATGCTCCTACGCTACACCAACCCCAATGGCTTCTCTTCTCCCGTGTTGCAGTCCCCATGCTCCTACGCTACACCACCCCCAATGGCTTCTCTTCTCCCGTGTTGAACTCCCCTCTCTTCAACCAGGAATCTAGAGTACTTGACAGCATTCACAGGGGACTTGTCCTCGCTGCACATTCTGTCTCATCTGAGAAAACTACAGCAGCTGTAAGCAAAGTTAACTTGTGGGTCGACTCAAAAGTCTCCTCCATTCCATTCACAGGGGACTTGTCCTCCCTGCACGTTCTTTCACACTTGAGAAGCCTACATCAGCTGTGAGCATCATTGCCACACAAGCACGTAGGGTACGTTGGTGGCGCGGCTCCTTGCTCCTATTCTTAATCTGCTTGTCACCATGTGACTTGGTCCATACCAGCTCGCATTTGGCAATGGTGTTTTGCTCATTATGGCTGATTGCATGTGCATGAGTGCAGGAACTTCCGGAGTCTCAGAAACGCCACAGGGGAGATACCCAGAGAGCTTCAGTACCTGACTGCCCTCACTGCACTGTAAGAGCGTGGAACATTGTTGCGACAGAGGCCAAAATCCGACCATTTGGTCGTTGCAGCCGACTTGCGAGGGTAGTGGTAACAAATGTCATAACTTAGGCTTAGAAGTGATACATTAGTACTGAGCTAGAAGCTCTTTAAGTACATCCAAGAAGGGCAAGGAATGGATGGGGAAAGGAATCGGGGGCAATCCCTAGGGATTGGGGGTAATCCCGAGGCAATCTCCAATTAGAGATGAGCATTTGCCCCGCTCGGGTCGGGCCGGCCCGACCCGACCCGTGGTTTAGCCCGGGTCGGGTCAGCGGTTTCAATTGAAGCGTCCAGGGGCCACGTAGCGAGAGAGGACACTGACTGGATATGCCAAGTCAGGCCGGGTGCACATCATGGCGTACATGAGGGACCCAACAAGCTCCGGGTATGGCTCAGAGCAGGCCTCTGGTGTGGGTACAGCTGGGGCTGTGAGGAGGTGTTGCAGCGGCAGCGGGGTGGTAACAGGTGTGCACAGCTCCATCTTAAACTGCTTGAGCACATTGTTGATGTAGAACTCCTGGGAGAGTGAGATGGTGCGAGCCTTGCGATCACGAGTGATCTCCATCCCCAGGTAGTGCTTAAGGTCACCGAGGTCTTTCATTAGGAGGGCCTTCCTCAGGGCCGTCTGGACAGAGGTCATCTGGGCCGAGTCCTTGGCAACGAGGATGAAGTCATCGACGTAGACAAGGATGTAGAATGGCTCAGAGTGACGACGAATGAAGAGAGTCGGGTCAGCAGATGATGGGTGGAAGTCCAGGGAGAGGAGGACTTCTTTCACCTTGTTGTGCCATTCGCGAGGGGCTTGCTTAAGGCCGTAGACGGGGCGATTCAGCTTCCAGACAGTGTTGGGAGGGAATTCTCCTGGGAAGCCTTCTGGTCTGTCCATGAACACTGTCTCCTTGAGGCGTCCTTGTAGGAAAGCTGATGAGGCGTCCATGGATTTGATCTCAAAGTCTTCTCGTGCTGCAACATCCATGCGTGTGCGAATGGTGGGAGGTTTGGATGTGGGGGAGAAGGTCTTGAAGAAGTCGTGGTACTGCTGTTGGGTGAAACCCTTGGGCAACGTAACGCGCTTTGAACACCGGGGCCTCGACAGGGAGCTGTTTCACACGAAACAACCACTTGCCCCCGACGATGTTGACTCCTGGAGGAGGAGTCTCGTCGTCGAAGAAGTGGTTGCGGGTGAACGCTTCAATCTCAGCTTCCATGGCAGCACGCCATTCGGCAGCATGGGGACCCGAGAGAGCCTCTTGGACGGTGAGAGGGATAGGAATGGTCGGGTTCTCCGTGAAGTTGAGTGAGGGTGATTCAGTGATGTCGGGGAAGATGTGCGAGAGCTGAGGAATGACTGCGTGAAGATCACAGAGCTCCTCATGCCTGTCTTCCAGAAGGGTAGAGGGCACATCCCCCCCAGCAGGAGGAGTCGGAGTGATCGCTGTGCAGCGGATAAGCAGGGCCAGAGGAAGGGCAGAGCCTTGCAAGCGAGTGCCATGAGCCACTGGAGAAGAGGGTGGGGCAGGCGGTGTCGGAGGGGCTGATTTAGGAGACTTGGGCGGGGGAAGTGGCCGCCTCTGGTACGTGATCAGCTCGGGCGACTGTGGGAGAGCGGGTTCCTCTGAGGTAGGGGGAACAGGCGGAGGAGGTAGGGCCCGAAGGTTTGACCGCCGATGGTATGTGATGGGTGCGCTCGGAGGGAGCGGCGCAGCTGGCAGAGGGGGAGGTGAGGCGGGAGGTGAGGGGGATAGAGGAGCGGCTGCCGAAGACACCGGTGAGGTCGGGTCAGAGACCTCAGAGGGGGATGGTGCGATGGCAGGAGAGGTGGGAGGTGAGGGAGCCGGTGCAGGCGGGAGGTCGGGAGGCGCATCAAAGTCTGCCCAGACGAGAGAGGGCGGATCAGAGGGAGGATCCTGACCCGAGGAAGAGGTAGTCAGGGGAGTCGGCATTGTGCCCAAGGTAGACGCACGTTTGAGTCTTGGGGCCGAGTTTGCCACCGTGGTGCCGCCTAGCCTGAGGGTTGAGGAGGACATAGGCGGTGCACCCCCAGACGCGTAGAGAGCAAACAGTGGGTGGTTTCCCGAGCCAAAGTGTGGTAGGAGTGGTGTCAGGAAGATGCGGGTGGGGGTAAAGATTGTAGAGGAGGGCAGCATGGTAGAGGGCGTATCCCCAGAGAGAGAGTGGGGCATTGGAGTGGCTGAGGAGGCACCGAGTGATTTGCACCAGGGTGTGGTTGCCGCTTTCTGCTATGCCGTTCTGCTGCGGGCTGTCGGGAAGGGTGAAGTTTTGCTGGATGCCTTCGGAGGAGCAGAAGGCTTTGAGCTTGTCGTTGCAAAATTCACCCCCCCCATCCGAGTGAAGGCGCTTGACCTTGCGGTCAAAGGTGGTCTGTGCCTGCTTGACCCACGCCATGATGACCTCAGGAGCCTCAGCCTTAGTGTGGAGGAGGTGAACAGAGACGTAGCGGGAGTGGTCATCCACGATAACAAGGAAGTAGCGATAGCCACCTCGTGCGAGAACAGGGGCAGGGCCCCAGACGTCCATGTGTACGAGGTCCAGTGGTGCTGCTGCGACTGTGGGTGAGGCAGGATGGGGCTGTTGGCGCAGTTTGCTCTTGGTGCAATCAAGGCACGTGGGAGCGGGTGAGTCAGGTGGTGGAGGAAGTGCGGCTGGCAGGCCGAGGAGAAGTTTCTTGGAGGCCATGTCAGCAAGAGTGCGGAAATTTGGGTGCCCGAGCCGATGGTGGTAGAGGATGGTCGGGTTGGAGAGGGTGCGACATGAGCATGGTGTGATAGTGGCCTGTGCTTGGGTGGTTGACACCTGTGGGAGAGGTACGCGTAGAGTGTAGAGGCCGTTGTTATTGAGGGTGTAGCGGGCCAAGGTTTTGTTGGTGCGTGGATCGATGATGTCGCAATGGTCCTCGTTCTCCGGGAAGGTGGTGCGTAACCCCGCGTCCTGAATTTCTGTTTGGGCAACTAGATTGTGACGCAGTGAAGGCACGCACATGCCAGTGACTGTGCCGGATGGGAAGGCGGGGCACGAGACTGTGGATGTACCCTTGGCAAGAGTGGTGAAGCTTGAGTCAGCTCCCAAGAGAGGAATGGGTATTGCGTAGGGTTTGAAGGAGAGTGTCTCCTTGAGCACAGTGTGAGTGGCCCCGCTGTCGAGTGTGAACTCTATGTATTGTGGTGCTTGTGATGAGCCGATGTACTGGGAGGTAGCTTCATTAATCATGGCAGTGCCAGGGAACAACAGGTTGATACGCACATCAGCAGGAGCACTATCACTAGCACTAGCCGAAGCGGGGTCCTGGACCTCAACTAGGTTGGCCTTACGAGGGCGCATCCAGTTTGGCGGCTTCTTGTCTACTCCGTAGATGGCGTACCATTCGTCGTCTTTCTTCTTGAAGCACGTAGCAAGGGGGTGGTTAGTGCCACCACACACTTGTCCCTTGCGGTTGCCATACTTGACGACGTAGGGGCACGGAGGAAAGCGGTTGCGCTGGAAGGGCGCTGAGGCGAGTTCCGCTGCGACACTTGCTTGGGGCATGGGAGCGCGGATGGCGTACGCCTTGGCCTGAGCCGTGGAGTCTTTCTCGGCAGAGAGGAGTGCGGTGGAGACCTTAGCAAAAGTGAGGTCTTCCGCTGAGAGCGTGAGGAGCATCTTCCTCGTGACTTCATATGCCGAGGTGAGACCAACAAGAAGGGTGGCTGCAGGGGCTTGTTCAGGGAAGACTATACCCAGCTCCTTGAGTTCGCCATGAATGGTCTGCACCTTGGCAATGTAGTCGGCCATTCCCGAGCAGTCCTCAAGACGGACCTGAAACATGCTGGGGATGAGAATGGCCACTTCGACCGCCGTCTTGTTCATGAACCGATCCTGGAGGTACTTCCAGATGGCGTTGGAGGTAGGGTAGTTGTGGAACGTGTTGACAAGTTCGGGAGGGGTGGAGGCGATGAAGACGCTGATGATGGCAGCATCGGCCTTCTCCCATTTCCGGTACTTCTCAACAGCTTCCTCGTACGCCCTCATGTCAGCATCACTTGCGGATTTGGTTGGCTCACGGGGAATAGTAGGCTGTTTCCCCTTGCCACGGTTGAGGAGGACGTCCTTGAGGTCAAGTCCCTGCACGTCACGACTTAGGAGGTGCTTGTCAACTCCGTAGCTCCATGCCTTGAAGTTGGAGCTAGAGCCATCGGCTTCAAGGCGGAGCGGGGTGATGGGGTTGGCCATGGTGGAAGAGGAGAGAGCCATGATGAAGACCTCTTAACTTCTCGCGCGGAGCACCGCTCTTAAGTCACCGATAGCAAAAATCGTTAATGTCGGCCGCGTCGAAGTGCCTCGTAGAAGGAATTTTCAGGCCGCCAAAATTAGGTCGAATCGGCCGATTTCCGTAGAGCTAACCTTAATCCCACACACCCCCCCACACACCACCCTCAGCTTCGCGGCTGCGCTGCTGCTCGGCTCCGCGGCTACACGGCTGCTCGGCTTCGCGGCTACGCTGCTGCTCGGCTGCGCTGCTGCACCTGTTCAGCTGCGGGAAAGGGGGGGGGGGGGGATGGGGGTAGAAGTGCAGATGCTGGGCGACGGGCGGCAGCCCGAAGATGTCGCTGCAAGGCGACGGGCGGCGGCCCGACGAGAAGCTGCGGGGTGACGGGCGGCCCGACGAGAAGCTGCAGGGCGACGGGCGGCGGCCCGACGAGAAGCTGCAGGGCGACGGGCGGCGGCCCGACGAGGAGAAGAAGTGATGTGATGACGTTCAACGAAAACGAGCGATATGTTATAGCGCCGACGATGCGCTTACCAGAAAAATTGTACACGTCGTCGAAATTGACGGGAAGGTGGTGCGGGAGAATTTCCGCCTATGAATGTCGCGAATCATCGGCGACGAGATTGACGATGGCTACGCCGAGGTTTGCGGGACGGGCATCCGTGAAGATAAGAGGATCACGATCCGCGTATGCGGTTGAAGGGCTCTGATACCATGTCAGAACTTAGGCTTAGAAGTGATACATTAGTAGTGAGCTTGAAGCTCTTTAAGTACATCCAAGAAGGGCAAGGAATGGATGGGGAAGGAAATCGGGGGCAATCCCTAGGGATTGGGGGTAATCCCAAGGCAATCTCCAATTGGTGGGTTGGAGATTGCTTGGAGATTACATTTGGGTTTGGTTGGGATGTAGGTGTACACCCAACCAAACACAAAGTGCAAACTACACTACTCTAGGATATGAAGATATAAAGTACAAAGTGTGAGATTGATGGCTAACACTAACAACAAACACCTGGGGCGTCTGTTGTAAATTCACAATGACCATGGTGGTGGTTGTGGTCGATTTACAGTTTTGGAGTTTAGGGTTGTTCCTGGAAATTGTTCGCGACCCTATGGGGGGTCACCAGGTTTCGGTGCGAAACCAGTCGTGCACATCACGAAAGGTGACCAAACACGTTGCGACTCTGTGCTGTTCACGGCAGGGCTGTTTTCGTGCCCAATTTGGTCGCACCTATGGTTTTTCACCTGGGGCGATTCCCGACTCGGTCGTTTCTGCAGCCGTATTCTCAGAAAATCTCGCATCCGTCGCCATCATGTTACCCCCTTCGCATTCGCTTAACCCAACCAAATGGTCGGATATTAGCCTCGGTCGCTACAATGTTACACGCCCTGAGCCCTACTCAAGTCCGATGAAACAGGTGAAGCGGATTCGTTCATGTTCGTGCACGAGTAACACATTCTCATCCCCATCCCCATCCCCATCCCCATCCCCATCCCCATCCCCATCCCCATCCCCATCCCCATCCCCATCCCCATCCCCATCCCCATCCCCATCCCCATCCCCATCCCCATCCCCATCCCCATCCCCATCCCCATCCCCATCCCCATCCCCATCCCCATCCCCATCCCCATCCCCATCCCCATCCCCATCCCCATCCCCATCCCCATCCCCATCCCCATCCCCATCCCCATCCCCATCCCCATCCCCATCCTTATCCCCGTCCATCCCCATCCCCATCCCCATCCCCATCCCCATCCCCATCCCCATCCCCATCCCCATCCCCATCCCCATCCCCATCCCCATCCCCATCCCCATCCCCATCCCCATCCCCATCCCCATCCCCATCCCCATCCCCATCCCCATCCCCATCCCCATCCCCATCCCCGTCCCCATCCCCATCCTCATCCCCGTCCCTATCCCCATCCCCATCCCCATCCCCATCCCCATCCCCATCCCCATCCCCATCCCCATCCCCATCCCCATCCCCATCCCCATCCCCTCGCCGGACATGACTGCAGCTCCATTGGCTTGTCTACGTGACGTGCTCTGCTCTGCTCCTGCTTTCCTCCCTGCTGTAGGGATCTATCCTACCTTCGTTTCGTGGAGTTTCCCATCTGGGTCACTCGACTCACCAACCTTCAGTATCTGTGAGCTCCAGGGTCAGGGTTTAGGGTTTAGGGTTTAGGGTTCCTCCTACTTCACCCTCCTACTTCACCCTCCTACTTCACTCTTGAACTCCACCATTGTCAAACGTCACATCCCCCACGAGGCACGAGGAGGACCACACGTGCCATGGCGAGGCGATGGATGGGATTGAGCTGCTCTAAGTGCGCCGAATCTCGTCGGCTTCTTATTATGCGCTTTTAAATCGAATTTCGCTGGCATCTTCTTGTGCGCTTTTGATTCGAGTCTCGCCGGCATCTTCTTGTGCGCTTTTGATTCGAGTCTCGCCGGCATCTTCTTACGCGCTTTTGATTCGAATCTCGCCATCATCTTCTTGTGTGCTTTTGATTCGAATCTCGCCGGCACCTTCTTATGCGCTTTTGAATCGAATCTCGCTGGCATCTTCTTGTGCGCAGGAACGTGCAAGCAGACTATCCACACCGGCAGGGGCGATTGCTGAATGATGACCTCTCTCAGCTCACAGCACTCACCAGCCTGTGCGTTTGGTGTGGCTTTAACTTGGTGAGGATCCTTAGTATCAGCTCTTCGTTTTCAAATGTTGTTTCCTTCGTACTCGTTGAAAGCTAGTACGGCTAGGGTGTTGGGAAAGCAGCTGACATGTAATGTAAGAGAAAATCCTTAACACTGTCTCAAGAAAATCACTCATAATTCCTGCCCTAGTTTCTCATGACTCCCACCAGTTAATACTCAGGCGTCCGTCTGTTGCCTGCTCTCTCTTCAGCATCCTTTACGGAAACAACCTGGAAGGCTACCTCCCCAATAGCTGGACCAATCTGGTCCACCTGCAAGAGCTGTCAGTTACTGTTTACCATACCAACTTGCCATCCTGCCATGTTGCCGTACAGAGATTCTCTCTGAACAAGTATCCAAAAAAAACAAGCGGAACGGCTCGAAATGAACTTCTACAGCCCTTGAATTGCTTCTTTAGGAGACCCGTACTGCTCGAGCTGCGATGCAAGCCTGGAGTTGGATGTGCCTCACTTGGTTTGACTTGAAGGTTTCGAATGGTTCAACTCGAACCAGAACTGGTCTCTTACAGAAATAAGGCAGCGTTTTCCTTTGCTTAAAGCCTATCTAAGTCATCCCAGTGGCTCTTTAAACAACACACTCTTTCTTCTCTCTCTAATGGCCCTTTCATTGATAATCGTGGAGTACACACATGCAAGGTATTGGTATGGCACGCAACAGTCGTCACAAATCAAAGCATCCTACTCAACCCACAACGCAGCCCCCCCCCCTCCCCCCCCCGTGTCTCCCTAGGGGAGATCCAGGGTGGGGTCCAGGACCGTGAGGCAATCCCCAAGTGACGGGGCCTCTCCTACCGCCTCAAGCAGCGGGTTTTCTACCGCTGCTGCGATGTTGCATTTCTCTTGGTACCCGACTGACTGCCCCCTTTGAAGAGCCACCGACCACCGCTGCCGATACTGGTGTAAGAGTTTGGCAGCTTGGTAGGAGGTAGGCTCAGCGTTGAAAAGCCGCCGTGCAGCCGATTCAGCAAGTAACTTCAGGAAATCCACTGTCTCGGGGCAAGGGCACCCGTACGTTTCGACCGCGAGGGGGAAGAATTTGACCCCCTCCGGTCGGTCCTTGTAGAGGCCATGCTTTTTATCCGCAGCTTCCCGTGCTGCCCATCCCCGCCCCCTGGTTGCATTCTCATCCCGTGTGCTAATCGGATCCGTTACAGTCACGTCGCAGATGTAGACCGCGCTAGTAGTGCGGTCGCGGAGGGCTAGGTCGGCCTTCTTCCCTTCCACGGGGCTGAAGGCGGCCGATTCCATGTGAACCATGAAGCCGGCGTCCCTTGCCATTCGCGCGCACTCATCTCTGAGTTCGTTGTGCGTGTTGGTACGTCCCCCCCCTGTACCGCACCGCAGCAGGTGATTGGGCAGCCGCTTATCCAAGATCTCGACCTTCTTCGTGTAGTTGCACACTCCCGGAGCGGCAAAGGGGAGCCCCAGCCGGAACCGGAGGGCGTTGGCATAATGGGGAGCGTCGAGCCGAAGCGATTGGTGGATTGGCACGGCATTTAACCAATCGCCCGCCCCATAACCTGACAGGGACAGCATCCGTTGGGTGTGGCCGTTGTTGGGGTTCGGCCGCATCCCCCGCACCTCCTCCACTTGTACCGCATACCGCTGGCCTTGGATAGCGGTGGCCAATCCGTGCTGCAGCTTCCCCGCTGTTGGGGCTGTTCTTTCCGTTTGCAGGACCTCCATTGCCGGCAGGGGCAGCCCCTCTTCACATTCCGCCAGCCACTCGGTCAGGGGGGAGGCCTGGGTGTAGGGGCCCCGCATCAGCCCGCGGGTGCCCTCTAATGGGCCGATGCTTTCAGTGTCCAGGGAATCGAGCAGCTGCTGCGCCTGCGTGTAGCTGGCGAGGAAGCTGTAACGCCCTTCGACCGAGGGATCTGCTAGGCCAAGTCCCCCAAGCGACACAGGGAGAGATGCTTGTGCCCAAGCACGTGCCATCTCCTCGTCACCCCGCGGATGGCTAATCCCGCACGCCGTGAGAAGAGTTTCCAGCAACCGCCGCCCCCAGGCTGACCACTCCTCCTTGGGCAGGAACGGCAGGGGTGTCGTGCGGGCGAGGTAAGAGACCCGGCGAGAGATACACCTGGAGAGCAGCAGTCCCGCCAGCTGCGGGTCCATCCGCTCTATCAAGTCCAGCGGCGCGCTCATCCCCGCAAGGCTGGTACGTACGAAATCAGAAGTTGCTGGTGCTGTGCCAATGTAACTGCCCAATACTTTCAGGCCGTCGCTGCTGGGAGGAACTCCTTCAGGTAAGCGGCAATCCGGGGACGTCTTGCTGGACCAAGCCCCGCACTTCGCTGGATTGTGGCGGAGCCCGATTTCCGCCAAATGGCCCGTGAAGTGTTCGAAGGCAGACACGCACGCCGATGACTCCCCGAGGAAGGTGACGTCGTCTGCGTAGGCTAGGCAGACGACGGATGGATGAGCCTCTGCTGCGGCTTTAAGAGCTGGATGCATGGCGGCGGCGAAGAGAAGGGGACCGAGGGGATCCCCTTGGCGGACCCCGGTTTCACTGTGCAGGGGCGGGTGAGCAAAGGCTGCATCCAAGTGAAGGAGGGACGGCTGGCTGTATGAGAAGCGAACCAGAGGCAGCAGCGGCTCCAATCGTGAGCCCTTTAGGGCTTTCGCTATTGCTAAGCGGTCAACGCTGTTGAAGGCATTAGCCAGGTCCGCCTGCAGGACTAAAGCATCCGGATTAGCCGCCACGTAGGTCCTAACTATGTGGATGACCGCCTCAGCTCCACCTGGCACGGCCACGCCAAACTGCAGAGGTAAGAAGAATTCCCTTGCTGCGTCTGCCAGCTGTGTGAGCGCTGCCTTGGCTGCCAGGCGGAGGATGCATTCGCCTATAGCGATCGGCCTGGTTCCTCCGTCAGGTTTGTCTAGTGCTATCAACCGTGATGCCGTAAGAAGCTTCCCAACTTCCCGGTGCAGTTTCCCGCTCAGGATTGTGTTAACTAATGCGTGTAAGTGAGAACCAACTGTGCTGTGCAGCAGGGCAGCTTCGCGGAGGTGCTCGAAAGTTGTGCCGGAGGGACCCGCACCCACCCCGTTCTCACATCTCGAGAGAAGCTTCAGAAAAGCTTCCCGTGTTACGGACAGGTGAGACTCCTGCGTGGGCTGAGGCCACGGTGAGTCAGGGCGGGAGGCACTGGGGTGCTTGGCGCGGAGGGCATCCAGCACATCTGGCGAGGGTTTGCTGACAGGGGTGGCTTCCAGCGCCATGACTGCCCTCCTCAAGCTGCCACGGCGTGCGAGTCCCTCAGCTCTGGAGATGACGCCCAGCTCATCTGGCACGTGTCGGGGAGGTGGTGGTTGTTCAAGAGAATCTATCGTTTCCAGGTACAGCGCCTCCCATTCCCCCCGCAGGAAATTCCGCAAGCGTTTTTTCGGTCGCCTTCCAATCCGGATATCTTGGCGAGTGCTGACGCAGAGTCAAGCGGGCGGCGAACAGTAAAACCTTCCAGGCAGAGAGGGAGTCAGGGTCGCGTGCGAGTCGTAGGAGTGGTGTCAGCACCACCATGGCGAAAAGGAGGCGCAATTTCTCCGGCAGGCGACGTGCCAGAGGTGAGTTGCGACTGTCGCGCAACTTATCCACATCCCAGGTGCTGACATTCGCGAAAAGTGCGTCATCCCTAGCGAGGGCCTCGGGCGACTTTTGGGGAGGGGGCTGTGGTTGCTGCTGGTTACCCCTCGCTGCAGTTCGCGGTACGATTGGAGGTGGCGATGTCAGATTCGGTTGGGCGGGATGGTTGACAGTGGTGGCAGGGGGGCGGGAAGCGGTACGAATCTGTGGCGAGAGTCGCGCCTGGGTGGGGGTGTTTCTGAAATTTGTTGACGCGCTTCGGGCCTGGGATGAGCTGGTTCTCCCCCGTGCTGGTGTCTGTGACTGGGCCTCCCCTGAGGCGTTCGAACTTGACGGTGAGTCTGCTTCATCCTCCCCCACCTCATAAATGCTACCCGATAATTCACCTTCTTCATTAGTTCTAACTAACTCCGTTAAACCCCTCCTTGCCGCCACCTGGAACGCGTTCTCCGGGCCTCCTTCCCGAGTGCTTCTGCCACGTCCGCGACCTCCGCCTCTGCCCCCCCGAGCCCGCGCACTGGCCGCTACCAGTTGCGGAATTCCGCTACTGCCTATTCCCCCGTCTCGCCGCGTCCGTGCATCCTCGATCGCCTGCTGCCGGCGCGTTCGCCGTGATGGCGACTGAATTGGAGAAGTCAGCGGTGGACCAAGGTCACACCGCTGAGAGCGCGATTGCCCCGTCTCCAACTCCTGTTGCTGCTCAAGTTGCCGCTGCTGCTCCCCTGGGCCCCCCGGCTCCTCCTGTCGCTGTTGCGCCGTCCCCGGCTCTAATCCCGCCGGCGCCAGCTCCCCCGCTAAGCCTTCCCCACGTTGTTCCCGCGATCGGCGCGCCGGTTCCCGTTGCGCAGCCGTCGCCTGTGGCGCCGCCGACTGGCCAGGCTGGCCAGGCTGACGCCGGGGGCCCCACGCTGGGGACAGCGGCGGGCGCCGGCCCCGACCCTGCCCTCCAGGTGGCCCCTGCAGCTGCGCCGGTACATCCCATCGCGCAGCGTCTCGCGGAGTCTCAGATACGCGGTGCCGCGGGGGGCAATGCGGCTGCGCATCGGGGGCGCGGTTCTCCTCGTCGCCGCCCCTCGTCTCGTATCGCTCGGCGCACCGCGGGGGCCGCGGTGGCTGGTGGGGAGGTCACGGTCGCGGGAGCGGTGGGCCGAGCGAGATGCAGCAGTTTCGCGAGGATTTCCCGGGGATGCTAGCCGCGGCGATGCGCAATGCCCTGAATGGCGCACAGAATCTTGGAAGCTCCCAGGCTCCCGCCGCTCCAGCTCCCGCACCGGCGCCGGTGATTGCGCAGGCTCCGGCCGCGCCCCTTGCTGCTCCTGCTCCGGTCGGCTCGGCGCTACCGCAAGTTCAGACTCCTGGTGATCCCCGTGCCCCTCCTGTCCCCGTGCGTCCTGTGTCTGCTGCGCCATACCCCCCTCTCCCCTGGATTCCCCCACTTGCGGGCACGAGATTTGTGGGGGCGGGAGGCGGAGGGGCGAGAGGGGCGTTCGTCCCACCGCGACGCGTTGCTGATGCTCCGTCCGTGCAGCCTCCGCCCACGCTTCCGGTTCCACCCGCAGCACTGGCGACCGGCATGGCTGAAGTTCCCACGGCGACCCTTGCTCAGCTGTGGCGCCTGACGGAGTGTCAGCGGGCCCTGTCACTGATTCTGGTGAATGCTCACTTCGCCATTCTCCAGAGCCCAGGGAGCACTCTCGGTCGTGGGGCGCGGGCTGATTGCCAGGCAGCAGCTGCGCAGCTTGCCTTCCTCCTCCTACCCGTGCTGGCAGCGCCCGCGTTGGGAGGCGTTGCGGTTTCTGAACTGGACGTAACGGTCCAGGGTCTGACCGCACACCTCCAGGCTGGTGGCGGGATTGAAGCCTTAGGCGCGACCGCGTTAGTGGTCCAGCAACTGTGGAGGACCATGCGTGGTATCCTTGCGGCGCTGGATGCCCATCAGAGGCAGAGGCTAGAGGCAGAGGCTAAGTCCTCTCTCTCTCTCTCTCGCTCTCTCCACGCCTAAGAAAACTGGCACCAAACGAACTAATGACTGAGAAATGACCCCAAGGGCCCTATATATAGCTAGAGGGCAGAGGCAGAGGCTAGAGGCAGAGGCTAAGTCCTCTCTCTCTCTCTCGCTCTCTCCACGCCTAAGAAAACTGGCTCCAAACGAACTAATGACTGAGAAATGACCCCAAGGGCCCTATATATAGCTAGAGGGCAGAGGCAGAGGCTAGAGGCAGAGGCTAAGTCCTCTCTCTCTCTCTCGCTCTCTCCACGCCTAAGAAAACTGGCACCAAACGAACTAATGACTGAGAAATGACCCCAAGGGCCCTATATATAGCTAGAGGGCAGAGGCAGAGGCTAGAGGCAGAGGCTAAGTCTTCTCTCTCTCTCTCTCTCTCTCTCTCTCTCTCTCTCTCTCTCTCTCTCTCTCTCTCTCTCTCTCTCTCTCTCTCTCTCTCTCTCTCTCTCTCTCTCTCTCCCTCTCTTTTATCAGCAACTTGAAAATCAACCACTTTGAAGGCACCATTCCGGCAACATTCTCGGCCCTAACTGACCTGACTGAACTGTAAGTTTCATGTGTCCTCCGTGCTTCCATTGTCCCACCCTCACTCTGTTTGTCCTTGTCTGTATCCATCGTCCCTTCCTCACTCAGCACACCACTTGTTTCCTGCCCCCCCCCTATTGCAGAGACCTTTCTTTTAATCAACTGTCTGGTACAGTTCCCCCTGCATTTGCCACCAGCATCCAGTTAATGTACGTCACGTCACTCTTCCCACTCACTGTATGTCACTCTTCCCTCCGATTCCAGCCAATGTATGTCACTCTTCCCTCTGCCTCCAGTCAATGGATGTCACGAGCGTAACCGCAGCGCATTCTACTTCCCATACCGTCATGATTCAGTATGTTTAAAAAAATCAGCTTCCCTCCTTTCCTTCATGCATTTCCTGCTGAGGGATTTTTCTTTGCCTCGTTAGGTCTTCCTGTCCTTTGTTTCTGTGCTTGGAGCTCTCATGCTTTTTTCTGTCGAGGTCCAATTGCTTTTGCATAAGGCAAAAGACTAGGCGTCCATTAACCTTGGTGCTTTCAACCAATCATGCAGAAAGCCATGAAAAAGTATGTATCTGCAGAACCATGCACCCTCACTTGCAAAGGAGCCACCCGCCATTCCAGTGGGATGGTCTGCACCAGTGCTTTCGCACAGGCTTACGAACAATTGCCTGAATTCATCCAGCTCCTTGCCATGTAACGAGGCTCCCCCGCGAACCACTCCAAATTCCCTCCCGACCGTAACCCAAACCACTTCCCGTCTAATTCCAATCATCCATGTGTGATTCCCATTCACTTCGTTGCTGGTTCGATATATCACGCTTGCACCACCAACATTTCAACAATTGCTGTTGTATGGCTTCCTGCCTTACCTTGCCACGCCAAGCCACAACAACCATCCCATTCTCACTCCCTGTTTTGCTCCCTTTTGATCCTCTCTCGTATTCTGCTCGCATTCTTACAGCATTTTCGCGTTCAACACCCCTCCTCCCCCCTTCAACCCTCCCCCCCACCTTTCACTTTTGCCCTGCTTTGTAATTTCGAAACCTTATTCCCCATGGCCTCGCATCCTTTGCTCCACTCTTCCCCTTTCTCTTGTTGCCTCCTGTCTTGACTGCCTATCCAGATTCCTCCAATACAATGCCTTCAGTGGGCCCATCCCACCACACCTGCTGGCACTGCCCAACCTCTCTCAGCTGTGAGCCCCCCATGTTTGCCCATTTTTACACACTCATCTTCTAACCTCCAGACCTATACACCCCTTGGGCTCTCCTCCCACTTGCACTCTCAATCTCACCCCATTTCTCAAATCTTGTCCCACTCGCTCTCTAATCTGCAATGATTCCTGTTCGACTGCCCTGGTTGCAGGGAACTATCCAACAATCATTTCACAGGAGCTATCCCCAGCCACTTCACTCGCCTCACTGAGATGGCTGGTTTGTATGTGTCTCCCCAAGCTGAGGTCCAGGGAGTTTTTGAGAATTCTCGAAAACTTCACTGAGATGAAACATCTGTATGTGTCTCTCCAAGCTGCGCTCCCCCCCCATATACCTCTCCCTGTCCCCACCCCACTACGTGAAACTGCTGCATGAACAGAATTAATTGGAGGGCCTCACGTTTTACTGATTGTTCTTTGCTGTGCCTCGTTTGACCATAGTTGCAACTTTTCCAGCATTAAGCTGGTTGCCTATATCTATGTGTGTGTGTGTGTATGCGTGCGCACTCGTGCGCGGGCTCCACGTGACAGAGACATTTCTTCCAACAGTCTCAGCTCAGGCCTTAACGTGGTGGCTCAGATGACATGGCTCGACGATATGTGAGTGCTCTCCCCTCTTCAGCACCTCAGCTGACCCTGACCTTGCTTCCCTTCCCCTTGTTCACTTTGGCTGCTTGCAACGTCTGAGCTAGGACCCTCTCTCCGATACTGGCTATGCAGATTGATCAATAACAACGACTTCTCTGGTGCGCTTCCCGCGTCATTCACATCAATCAGTAACCTCAAAACACTGTGAGTCCCGTCTCTGAACTCATCAATGCAACAACCCCTTTCATGGAACCTAATTGGGTGGGTGGGATGCAGCAACAGTAAGCGTTGTGACTGCCCCTGTTCTAAGTTCACCCGAGTATTTGTGTGCCTGTGCTTTGGTTATCAATGCATGTAGCCTTGTATTCCAATTCATGCTGGATGAGTGGTTGTTGTGTGCATAAATGTATGCACTTGTACAATTTCGTATCTTCACTCACAAATGTTTTCCTGCATTCATGTGCAAGTGCCAGAGCACGTATGCAGTGGCCTGTACATGAGCTAATGAATGCGTGCTTCACTATGTACTTGTTTCATTATTTCCCCACCATGCCCTGGGCCTCATTCAGGAATGTTGGAAACAACCATTTCACTGGAACCTTCCCGGATTTTATTATGCGCCAGCCGGACCTTTTTTACCTGTAAGACATCCACTTGTGGCCTTGCACAAAAGCGGGTTGCACTAAAGGAGCAAGAACGGAAGCAAAGCAAAGCACGGAGCAGAACCGGCTCGCTCTCGTTTGCTTCGTTTCCAGCGGAACTGCGCATAAGAGCCTTTTATTCCTGTAATGCATCCATGCGTGACCTCAAACAAAGGTGGTTTGCACTGATGAAGTAACTGCTGCCATTTCTTGCAGTACTTCCTCCTCAAATGGTACTCCTCCATTTCTTGCAGTACTTCCTCCTCAAATGGTACTCCTCCTCCTCCACTTCTTGCAGTACTTCCTATAGCAACTACTTTAACAACTCAAATGGCAATCGCAATGAATATGGTCATGGCAGGAACTTGGCCAACAACAGTTTCACAGGGACTATCCCCCGCGAATTGACCAAGCTTATTTACCTGGGCGAGATGTAAGTTGCACTGCTGCGACTGTAGCGGGGTTGAGGATCCGTTTAGCCTTGTGCTTAATTATTTGAGGTCGCTTTGAGGCTCTTGATACTATTGTGCAGATATCTTGATAGCAACAATTTCCATGGAACTATCCCATCCGGCCTGCTTCGGCTACCCAGTTTGAACTCGCTGTAAGTAGCTCCCATATACCAGTTTCACAAGATTATTTTCTTCCACCTTGTGAAGATCTGAGTATGCATACAAAAGTAAATATTGCTATCCCTGATATGTCTCTGCAAGTTCTCTTCTCCTCTGCCAAACACCAAATCAGGAGTTCACGTGCTACCTGCTTTGGATGTTTCTCCCTGCATCTCTCAAGTTTCCAACTTTCCACCCCAAGCTCGCTGTCAGCCTCGCAGAGGCCACAATGCATTCATGTGCTTTGGCAGTATCCTTAATTTCTAACCGCTGCATCCTTAATTTCCTAACGCAGGAGTGTATTTAACAACTCTCTTTCTGGGGAACTCCCACGGACTCTCAGGGTCACAAGTACTCTTAACAGGCTGTATGAAGTTGAAGCACTGTGTGTTGCCACCATCGTGTGTGCCTGGTACAACGCTGTCCCTTCATGGTTAACTTTCATGCCCCTGGAATCTTCGTCTCCCTTTGATTTGACATGTGCAGTGACCTGGGAGGAAATGACTTCACGGGCTCCTTACCAGACTTCTCACACTGGAACGTCAGCTGTGGAGACATGTAAATAAGCATTCTCACACTCTCTTCCTCCTTTCCCACTCCTACGCTTGCTCAATCTTGGTCTTAGCACCACCAGGGTGCAAAATTGCGCCTTTTTTTTTGTAAGGGTAGAAATTGTCAAAATTCGATGGGTGCAAATCTTACTTGCATTTTGCTGCCAGATCTGTGCAGAGTTTGGGTGAAAGCTGGTTTCTGTACCTGACCCGGGGGCTTGCCAGGCTTGACCCGGTCTTTGAAGGCCGAATCGGGCCAGGTTTTTGGAAACTCCGACTCGGGAAGAATGGACCTGACCCGACCCGGTACCCGCTGGCCCGCCCAAATCGGGTCAGGTCGGGTCGGGTCAAATGCGCATTTTTGCATAGTGCATTGCACCCATAGTAAGTTTTTGCGTTCACCCCACTCACCACAGGCTATTAAGCTGTTGCCTCGCCTGTGTTGTGGCGCAGAAATCTCAGCGGCAACAACTTCACAGGGTCGATTCCCGACTCCATCTCCACCCTCACCACACTCTTTGGCATGTGAGGCCTCTCTTCCTTTTGCTGTGCCACAACTGGATTGTCCCCAACTGCCTCATTGGCATGTGAGGCTTCTTATGCCACAACGAGCCATAATGTCTGCCATGAGCACTTATGTGTGGAGCTATTCCCATCCGAAAAAGGTGGGATGTCGTGTAGAAAGTCACCGTCGAGCCTTTGCAGTGGCACGCAGCCTATGGCAGGAGAAAGGTTGCAGTAGCACGCAGCCTATGGCAGGAGAAAGGTAGCAGTGGCAACCTATGCTATGCGCACGCATCTAAATACTCTTAATTCGCACTTCCAACCAATGTACCCTGTTCCTATTCCCTGCTCTGCAGTTTTCTCAACAACAACCAGCTAACTGGCACCATCCCTTCAGCCATCTTCAACATGAGGAATCTGACATACCTGTAAGCCATCTTCAACATGTGCCCTTTTTAAGTGCCCATCACACGTTCCTACCTCTGCCCAATGGCACTATGCCCTCTTGCATACGCTGCTTCTCATCGGAATGTCTCCCTGCCATTGCCATTGCCATTGCCCTTCAGCTACTTGGCCAACAACAATCTGACTGGCAGTCTGCCAGCTGCCATCAGCCAACTAAAGAACCTTGAACAGATGTGAGGGTGCTATGTTCCTTCCTCCACAATTCTCAAGAACGGTGGCAGCTTAGGAAACAACATAGGCATCACAAGCACAAGCTTGTAGTACGTCGGTTCTATAAGAGACCATGAGACCACGATCTAGCAAACTTCCTCACCGTGAAAGGAACACAAGAGACCAATACACGCAAACTTAACTTGTGCCATCCCCACTCCACCCCCTGCTCTTTATGCGACCGTTCCCGCCTTCGTTCCTGCCAATGCTCTGCCTGTCTCCCCAGCTGGTTGGACAACAACAAGATTGAGGGCCCTCTGCTGACTAGCATGTGCTCGCTGCCCTGGCTGTGGCGCGTGTGAGTGACAGTCATACACTTGATTCTTTTTTTTGTTTTCCTTTCTTTTAAAGCTTGCCAGCCAGGACTTACTGTCGGAGATACAGCTATCCCGTCATCTGCTTAGTTCTGATTCGCGTCTTCTCCTTAGCTTCTCTTGTTGCCTCAGCCCCTCTCAATGAAAGTAATGGAACTCTCACCTCTGAGGTCCTCCCTGAGTGGTGTGCCACCAGTCTGCAATGCTAAGGTAACAACAATCCACTATACGAAAGGATAACAATCGGAAAGCATTGAGAGGGTGTGAGAGAGTGAATTTACCTGGCCCAGGCTCGAACCGTGCATTTCTCAATGTGCGGCTCGAGCCTGGGTTGGTTCGTTCACATTGGTTGCGTGGGTTCCATCCCTCGGTGCTCTCCTACCAACTTCGCGTCAACTTCCCAGCCCCCAACTACCTGCCCTCGAATCTGCATACAACACATTGCTAAACCAGCACTACACCGCAATATCACTGGCACCTTATATGCACATCCGTGCATATTCGGTGACATTACTTCTCTCCTGTTTTCATAATTTTGGAGTTGGAGGTTGTTTAAATGTGTAAAGTAGTTTCACTTTTGTGTATCTGCCTTTCTGTATGGGTGTGTGACTCACGGTGCGGCATGGTGTGTGCTGTGCTGCTGGCAGCTTGATCAGCAACAACTCCCTCTATGGACCCCTGCCAGACTGCCTCTTTGACAAGTGTATCACACAAATGTAAGCCTACCGTGCATACTCTATTCTCAGAACCATCCATCACAGCTCGTACCCTCAACATGGGCATTGCACAAACATCATTATCTGGTGGGACGGCCTTCGACTGAACACTCAATATCATCTTCCGCCCGCCGCGACCCCCCTGTGCTTCCCGCAGTGATGTGAGCGGCAACAGCCTGTATGTGCGCATCAAATCGTGACTTCGAGAACTTAGGGGCAACCAGCTGTTCCCTCGTCCTCTCACCTCCCCTGCCCCAACCATTATCTGTCCTCCTTGTACCCCCGTGCGTCCCACCGACAGTGATGTGAGCGGCAACAGCCTGTATGGGCGCATCAACCGCGATTTCCAGAACATAGGGGCAGATGACAAAGCCCTCGTCAACTTGGCTCGCAACTTCTTCTTCGGAGATGGGGTGCTCTTTGCTGCCGGCTGCAAGGTCTGCCCCACTGAGATCAACGAGCCCAACAACCTGGGCTTAAGGGACACCTTTGCATGGGAAGAGTTTGGTGGCAAGTGCAGCAGAAATGCTCTAAATTTCCTCGTGGATGAGTCGGGCAGGAAGGCGAGGGTGAGTCTGTCGGGCAACTGCCTGACCCTCACCCCAAACAACCAGTGCTCATCCAACGCCACCCAGCGCAGCACGGCAGCCTGCCAGGCGTTCTGCAGCATCACGGACAACGGCCCGTGTGACGGCCATGGGGCCTGTGTGCCAGTTGACCCTGCCTCCCCCACCAACTTCACCTGCCTCTGTGATGCCGGCTACTCCACTCTCGACTCGGGCAACGGCTCCTCCACATGTGCCATCGTCCACTCCACCACCACCACCAACACTGGTAACCTTTGCTTCATTCTTACAGCTCCACATTTCATTCCTATGTTATGCACCAATAACCACGTTTCATGAGACTTCTGCTATACACACATTTGTTACCGGCCCATGTCCCTTCCTTGGCAGTGTCGTCTCTGTCCACGGGTGCCATAGTAGGCATTGTTGTGGGCTGCTTTGCTGGCTTCACGCTGCTGGCTGCGGTGCTCGCATGGCTGCTGCGGCCCCGCGGACCAAGTGAGCCCCTCATCCCTCTTCAGTTACATTCAATCTCCCCAATTCCTTCACCTATTTCCTGGCTTCCTTCCCCGCTCCCCACCTCTCCCAAATCCGTGCACAATAAACCTACCTCTCCACTGCCCTCATGCTCTCTCCACTCATCTACACCCCGTATTGTGCGTGCACAGAGAAGTGGGAGGGTTTGGACGTGTGTGAGCAGTTCTCGCTGCAGCAGATGCTGAGTGCCACCAACAACTGGTCGGAAGACAATGTGCTGGGAAAGGGCGGCTTTGGCGTTGTCTACAAAGGCCGCTCGCCACAAGGCCAGCTGTGGGCCATCAAGCGATCCACCATCATGACCAACGACTTTGAAACGGAGGTGAGGCATGCCTGTAATTCCCCGTGCACGAGAAAAGACATCACGAGACGACACGGCACTCGCTGCTTCCCAAAATGCTGACTCTGCTAGTGCATGTCTCACTTTTTCATGCCCATGTGCATCTGCCTGCGTGTTGCAGGTGCGAGCCATGGCCTCTCTCCACCACACACACCTCGTGCGCCTGTTGGGCTTCTGTCTGGACCAGAACGTGGAGACGGGCAAGCAGGAGCAGATCCTCGTGTACGAGTTCATGGCCAACAGGGACCTCGAGTACCATATCCACCGGTCCAAGCGTGAGTCGCACTAGCACAATTGTTGAACGGCATTTGTTTGTTTGTTTGTTTTGTTTTTTTTCTGCAAAGGACATGACACCACTGTCAGATTACCATCTTCATTGTAACCTGCATCATCATATAAGCTTTGACTAGAGATAGGCACCCAAACTTAGTTTGGGTGCACAACTAGGGTTTACCCTAGTTTGAGGTTGGAACCCAACCTTGGCCCAATTATTGGGCCCCCAAGGTTGGGTTGGGAGATTATTGGCCCCCCCAATAATGTTGACCCACTTTTGGTCAACATTATTGGTCCCCCCAATAACTCCTCAACCCAACTTATTGGTGGGGGCCAATAATGTTGGCATGGCTCCTACATCCTAGCTCAACTATGTAAACCCATGCCCTTCCTAATGAAACTATCGGTTGTTCTTACACTTTCTCACATGGTATTCAGAGCAACTACGGCTCACACCATCTCGATCCTAAGGACCGCACATACCGCGTGCTATATCACGCCCCCCTCTCTCACGCGACACTACGTCGCCCTTTGCGCCTAGTGCGCCCCTACGCCGTCACGGCCCCCCCCTCCCCTTGCGCTAAATTTCAGCGCCCCCCTCCCTCCTTTCTACAGTCAATTCCGCCTCTCGCGGCTCTCCCCTCTCTCCCACTAACCCATCAACCGTCGGAACGGCCACGCCAACCGTCGGAACGATCCGCGCAACCGTCGGAACGATCTGCGCAACCGTCGGAACGACCAGCGCGACCGTCGGGACGGCCAGCACGAGCGACGGAACCCTAATCGCGGGCGGACGCCACACCCGCGACGAGCATCGGCGACCGCCGCGATCGACGAAACCCTAATCGCGGGCGGACGCCACACCCGCGACGAACGACGGCCGCGGACGCGACGAGAACGGGCGACCGCCGCGGACGCGACCAGCGGGGGCGGACGCCGCGGACGCGACCAGCGCGGGCGACCGCCGCGGACGCGACCAGCGGGGGCGGACGCCGCGGACGCGACCAGCGGGGGCGGACGCCGCGGACGCGACCAGCGAGGGCGGACGCCGCGGACGCGACCAGCGAGGGCGGACGCCGCGGACGCGACCAGCGCGGGCGGACGCCGCGGACGCGACCAGCGAGGGCGGACGCCGCGGACGCGACCAGCGAGGGCGGACGCCGCGGACGCGACCAGCGAGGGCGGACGCCGCGGACGCGACCAGCGCGGGCGGACGCCGCGGACGCGACCAGCGAGGGCGGACGCCGCGGACGCGACCAGCGAGGGCGGACGCCGCGGACGCGACCAGCGCGGGCGGACGCCGCGGACGCGACCAGCGCGGGCGGACGTCACGGACGCGACCAGCGAGGGCGACGCTGCGGACACGACCAGCGCGGGCGGACGCCGCGGACGCGACCAGCGAGGGCGACCGCTGCGGACGCGTCCAGGAGCAGCCGCGTGTCGTCAAGGCACAGCTGCAGGCGACGAGGCGCAGCCGCGGGCGACGAGACGCAGCCGCGGGCGACAAGGGGCAGCCGCGGGTGACGAAGCGCTGCCGCACGCAACGTGACCGCGCCACCCCTCCAGGTGGTGTCGTCTTTGACCGCACCCGCCCTCCAGCCAGTGTCGTCACCCTCTCCCCCCCCCTCCTCCCCCCTCATGGCGGACGACTCTACTCCCATTGAACTCGGAGCTATCGATAAGCTCGAACTCCTCCATGACACTACGGCCGTGAACTGGGCGTCGTTTGAGGACACACTTCACACCCACCTTGGCTCTGTCATTGTTCAAGACTACTGTCTTCTTGATGTAGTTCTTGAGCACCCTAACGGCCTTCCACCCGTCCCCCCTCCTCCTCTTGAGCCTCCTCCTCCTGATGCCCCTCCTCCCCCAGAGCCTCTGTCTGATCCCCCTCGTGCCCCAGTTCATGATGACAACCCAGATCGATGGGCGGCCAACTTGAACAACTACAACAAGCTTCGCGATGCCTACACCATCCAGCGTGAGGCGCACCGTGCTGCTGAGAAGGCTCACGCTGATGCTACTGCGCGTATCCTCTCCTACGCACAGGATGAGAAAGACTATGCTGATGAACTTCGCAAGTTCAACAAGGATACTGCAGCATGGCGAATTGCGGATCGCCGCGCTCTAGCCATTATCTTCTCCTGCATCCCTTCCCATCTCAAACGTGACCTCCGCCCCACCTCCTCCTCTGGCCTCTGGAAAACCCTGTCCACTCAGTACGACCGACAGGACCTTCGCTCTCTCCTTGCTCTCTTTCGCAAATTTCAAGACACCACTCTTGACTCATCCCCCACTGCTGCTGCCTTCACTCGGCGCCTCATCGACACTGCGCAACGTCTCAACGACCGCGGCATTGTCATTCATGAATCACTTCTCACTGCACGCATCCTCGACTGCCTTCCACCCACATACGATACCTACCGCATCACCTTTACCTCTAGGTACCGCCATCCTCCTCCTGTGGCTGACACAATCGACTGGCTCCTTGACAGCGAAGCGGACATCCAACGTGACTCCACCACCATCAATGCTATCCAGGCTCGCAAAACTCCCGCAGGCAACCACAGCAGCGGCGGAGGTAGCGGCTCAAGCGGTACTGGCGGTGGCGGTGGTGGACGAGGTGGTGGGCGAGGCGGTGGACGCGGTGGTGGTCGTGGTGGCGGCCGTGGTGGGCGTGGCAAAAACCCCTCTCCCTCGGGTACCCTTCCCCCGTGTCAGTACATCATTCGCTATGGCTCCAACAAAGGTCAGCCTTGCGCTCAAACCACTCACACCACTGACACGTGCTTCAAAGCCCTCACTGATGAGTGGTTTGCACGTGGCAATGTCGGCACCCCACCTCGATGGAACACCATCTTCCCGCGCCCCTCTCTCCATGACATACGCACTCTCCCCGCCTATCAACCCTCCACCCCTAATCTTCACAATGTCCTCACTGAGCATCTCCCACCTCATATCCTCCAGCAAGTTCAACATCTTCTCCCTTCATCTCCTCCCACTCCCACCCCTCCCACCCCTCCCATTCCCCCTTCACCCACACCTCCTCCTCAAGCCCCTCCCCCCCACTATCCTCCGCCCTATACCGGCTGGCCATACCCTCCTTATCCACCTCCTCAATACGGCCCTGTGCTTCCTCCACCTGCTACCACTCCTACTGACCAGCCCTCCTCCTCCTCCAATCCTCCTGGCTTCACTCCGTTCCCTTCTGCTGGATTCATAGGACATGTTAGCACTGCTTCTCCTGCTCCTTCAATGTATGCCCATGCTATTAATGAGACATCCTTCCAGTATTCCGCTTCTTCCTCCTCCTCTACACTCCTTGAGTTCATTCTTGACAGCGGCGCTACACACACTGTCCTTCGGGACGCAGGCACACTAGTCCCCCTCCCCACTCCCTCCACCATTTACGGAGCCGACTTCAGCTTCACCATCACAAGTCGACACACCTCCACTCTCCCCTGCCCCATCTTCCCCTCAGGCACAGTCACAGGTCTACACGTCCCCTCCCTACGCAACAATCTGGTAGCACTTCGTGACCTCCCAAGGTTAGGTGTCACCGCCATCTTCCCCGGACATGCACTTCACTGCGACCTCTTTCACACCATCACTGGTCGCTTCATCTGTCGTATTCCCCTCTGCCCACACACAAACCTGTACACAAACCGCACCCCTCGCCCCTCCACCACCACCACTCACCACTCCCACTCCCTTCCCCCCTCCCCTCTCCCCCTCCTCTCCCCCTCCCCTCTTCCCCCTCCTCCCTCCCCTCCCCTTCTCCCCTCCCTCCCCTCCCCTCCCTCCCCCCCTCCTCTTGCCTCCCCTCCCCCTCCCTCCTCCCCCTCCCCTCCCTCCTCCCCCTCCCCTCCCTCCTCCCCCTCCTGTCACTGTCGTGACCTTACCCATCCCGCCGTCCTCCTTCACCATCGCTTGGGTCATCCCAACTTTGCCACCCTTCGTCAATCTGTCTCCTCTCAACTTCTTGAAGGACTTCCCCTCACCCTCCCCCCTCTCCCCCCGTCGCCCTCCCCTCCCTGCTCAGTTTGCGTTGAAAGCAAACTAAAGCAAGCCCCCCACAAGAGTCATCCCTCCTTCTCTCCCCAACCCATTGATCTCGTCCACATGGACCTCTGGGGCCCCAATCCCACCCCCACCAGGCAAGGTCATCGCTACCTGCTCATACTGGTAGATGACCACAGTCGGTACTCCACTGTCTCTCTCCTTCGCAAGAAGGCGGAGGCCCCGGCTGCCATTATTGCCTGGGCTGAACAAGCACGCACCCATTTCAAACGCCCTGTCTCTCGCTTCCATTCCGATGGCGGCGGTGAGTTCCTTAACCGGATGCTTTCCTCCTACTGCTCCACCCATGGCATTATCCACACCTACACCCTTCCTCATTCCCCTCAGCAAAATGGTGTGGCGGAGAGCAGGGTTCGGGAGGTCACCAAGACCGCTCGATGCCTCATGGTCCATGCCTCCTGCCCGCCTTCTCTGTGGGGTTATGCTATCCTCCACGCCGCCATCCTCACTAATCTCTACCCCCATCCCTCACGGCCCACCACTACTCCCACCGAACTCTGGACCTCCACTAAACCCGACATCTCCCCCCTGCGCGTGTGGGGCTCCAAGGCGTATGTTCTCATACACCCTGAGGACCGTTCACGTGCAGCTGGGAAACTTGCCTCCCGCACCCTCCCTTGCATCTTCAT